AGTGCCACCTTAAGTCCCTCGCCATGTCCTCTGACCTGAACATCCTCTTCAGCCGTGGGATTATCGGAAAATACCTAAGAACTTTCTGTGGAATACCTTTCTTCACATCACCTGTGCGCATGTTAATCTTCCATCTTGAAGCGTTGCATTTCGGACATTTGTCTAGCTTCTCAAACTCCTTTCTGAATAGACAACAGTCATTCACACATGCATGGATCTTCTCATAACCCATATCTAAAGACCTCAAGAACCTCTTCACTTCGTACAAGGAACTGTGCAAGACATTATCCTTCGGTAGCATCTCTGGCAAAGCCTCAAGCAGAAGATCGAAGCTTCTATCAGACCAACCACTTTGTGTCTTTATCCTAAATAGAGAAACAATCGCCGAGAGCTTGCTGTGGTTAGCACAACTTGGATACAAAGGTGTTTCTACATCGGCTAGCTTAGCAAGAAACTCATCCTCTTCCTTATCTTCACCTTCAGCAACCTCAGTTAAGTTCCCCTGCCTAAGAAACTCTTCATCATCAAACGCAGCTGCTTGGTATAACCCAAAAATCTCCACCTTCTTCTCATTTGCATTTTTTCTACTGTCACTCCCTGATATTACATCTCCATGGTGATACCAATCCTCCCGCATCTTGTAGCTCAAATCCATTCATCTAGTTACTAGATGATCCACGATAACAGAAGCTGAGTGACGAGCTATGTTGCGGCAGTCAATGCATGGGAAAATGATCTTCTCAGACTCTGCCCAATATGCACCAGCAGACCTCACAAAGTCCCACGCACCTCTCTCATAACCAAGATCAGCTCTTCGGTTAAGACACATGAGACAATATTCTTAATCACACAAAATCTCACTAACTAGCTATAATATATATTCTGTTTCCTTACCTGTTTTGATGAGCCCATGACTTTTCGACCATTTCTATGTTCTAAGTTTCTAACCGATGACCAACTAAATCAAACAAAGCCATAACAGTATGTCAGATACCAAACACATACATTGTGATTCACATAATTAAGCAGAAATAAACATTCAACTAATCAATCGTCAATCAATCTAATAGCTAGAACTCAGAAAATCAATCACATCATCAACAAACAACTTCTATTCGGCTGAAAAAAAATCACCTCAATAAGATGCTTCAGATTGTGACTCGACTTCACTCCAGAAAGTAACAATTAAAAGCTCAACCCTGCAAAACAAAAGAGAACAAACACAAAACCCAATCTAATCGAATTCGCCCCCAAAAGAAACAAACTTCAAATCTGAAAGATATAGAATCAAAACATATTTGATTATCACTAACCTCACTTGTCTCCTCTTTACCGTGTGCTCAATTATCCTTCTGTTAATTTGAAATAGTTAAATCTGAAAGAAATAAAAAAAATTCAGAGAATCACAGAAATCTTAAACTCAATCAAGGGTTAATACAACCGAAATCGAAACTGGGAACCTGGAAACTGACCGCCGGCAACGAAAACACCACAGGCAGGAAGATCTCGGTGAAAAATTGGAGAGATTGATGTCTCCGAGTTTTGCATGCGTCGACAGAGAAGGAGAGGCGGAGGAAGAAAGGTAAAAAAAAAAAGACTAAGTCTTTTGCAATCGAGAACACTTTACAGTGTATTTCCTGGTTTAATGAATTTTTATTCATTTTATTTCCCGCTTTAATGCATTTTTTCCCTAGCGCGTAAGTTGCGCTACAAAAAAGTTGAACATCGGATTTCACCACTTTTGGTAGCAGTTCGTGAATTCGTGCTACCGTCAACTGCTACCAATGCCCATATTTCTTGTAGTGGGAGCTGGTTCCTAGATATGAAACTTCTCTACTTAAAGCGTGGCAATTGGCAACTCAAGTTGAGGTTTCTCCAGCTTCAGAACAACAAAGTATGAAGGTCATACCGGCGCCTCTTCAACGTGTGCCACAAGTGACGAAGACATTGATGTGATAAATAATGCTATGCCTCCACAAGTAGCTAATCAACCAGCTCCAAAAGTGGTTCATCAACCTGTTGCAGAAGTTGTGGCTCCTAACCATTATCCAATGCAGACGAGAGCAAAAGAAGGTACTCATAAACCAAACTCCAGACATGAAATGCTTGCTCCAAAGTACTCAGTTGCCATTCCTAAAAACATCAAGGAGGCTATGGAGCATCCAGGGTGGAATGCTGCAGTCTTACAAGAAATGAATATCATACATATGTTGCATACCTGGACTTTAGTTTCTGCAACAGCTGATATGAACATTCTACGAAGCAGATGGGTGCATACAGTAAAGCTTAACCCTGATGGTACAATCAAGAACTTGAGATCAAGGTTGGTAGCTAAAGGCTTTGAACAGGAAGAGGGGATTGATTTTTTGGAGACGTTTAGTCCAGTTGTGAGGACAGCTACAATCAGATTGATGCTTGATATTGCGGTTTCAAAAGGATGGCAAGTCAAGCAATTAGATGTATCCAGTGCTTTTCTCCATGGTGATCTGCATGAGCCAGTGTACATGTATCAACCTGATGGATTTGTGGATCCAGAACAGCCTTAACATGTGTGCAAACTCACCAAGGCTCTATATGGACTCAAACAGACACCTAAAGCCTGGTTTGACACATTCAGTAACATTTTGATTGACTTTGGTTTTGTGTGTAGCAAATCAGATCCATCTCTATTTAAATACAACAGACACAACAAGATGATAGTCTTGCTATTGTATGTATACGATATCCTACTCACTGTAAGTGAAGAAGAGCTTATCAAACGTCTTATAGATGCATTGTCTCAACGATTTTCTATGAAAGATCTGGGAGTCCCAAAATATTTTCTTGGAATAGAGATGGTCACACACTCAGGTGGGGTATTTTTGCATTAGACGTCCTATGTTAATGAGATTCTACATGTGGCGAGTATGTCAGACTGCAACTCAATGCATACTCCTCTTCCTCAACGAATAGAAGACAGTGATCCAACTATGTTTCCTGAGCCGACATACTTCAGAAGCCTTGCTAGTAAGCTCCAGTACCTAACAATTACCAGACCTGACATTCAATATGCCGTTAATCTTGTCTGTCAGAGAATGCACGCTCCTACAATGACTGATTTTGGATTACTGAAGAGAATCTTGCATTATCTAAAGGGCACTCAACAACTTGGCTTGCACATTAAGAAGGATAAGAATCTCTCTCTGTTGGCATATTGTGACAGTGATTGGGCTGGATGCCAAGAAACCAGAAGATCAACAACAGGATTTTGTACATTCCTTGGGTCTAATTTGATATCTTGGTCGGCAAAAGGACAAGAGAAAGTGTCTAGATCCTCTACCGAAGCGGAGTATAGAGCCTTGGCATCAACGGCACAAGAGATCACTTGGGTATCCCAACTTCTGCGTGATCTAAACATCTCTCAACCTTATGCTACAATGCTTCTTTGTGACAACTTGTCTGCAGTGTAGAGTATCAATCATGCGCTTCATAAGAGGTCAAAACACTTTGATACGGATTGGCACTACATTAGGGAGCAGGTGGCATTGGGGTTGATCGAAATAAAGCACATCTCAGCTGCATTTCAAATGGCTGATATATTCACAAAGTCCCTTGCTCGTCGCCCTTTTTGAGTTACTGCGTTCCATACTTGGTGTAAAAGTAAACCTCATCCCAAGTTTGTTGGGGGGGGGGATGTAAGTGTAGCCCACACTCAAGCCTACATGTGTGAAAGGTCGAAGGCCCAAGTTAAGCCTGTTACTCATCAACGGTCATCCTCTGTCTTTGTCCTCTTGAAAAATAGAGCAGTGGAGTACGGACATTAACAACTCCTTCTCCCCTCTCTTATCATTATGTGTAGCTAGATAATATCACCTTTATCTTTACCTTTCCAGCTGTTACAGTCTAGATTTTTCTCTAATTATTTGTATTTAATTATTTGTATTTAAACGATGTTCCTATGTTGTAATTATTAAGTTATCAAAGTATTATTCAGAGAAAATCTTGTCTTTCATAGTTTTTTGGTGTCTTTTAAAATGAAATTACCCCAAATTTATAATGTTTTCGTGTATCATTCGAGTCGGTCTAAGAAACACTGTTATTCAGAAAAAAGATAAAGAAATACAGAAGAACTTCGTCAAGTATCCGCGGCAAAAGTAAAGGGTAAATCTGTCAATACCAAAACTTAATACAACGATACCAACGTACGTCTATCTACTATTAATAAAAGTTGCAAATGAAAGCATTTGGAAGTGTCCACGTGTGCATAAATATTTAACCAATCAAATGGCTTTTTGTCAGCCACGTCATTCTCCTTATGCTCCGTCGACACCTATTCTCCGTTTCTCCGCAAGTCCCTTATTACAAACACACAGAGTTTCGTAACGTACAGAGACACATCTCTTCTTCTTCTTCCACCCCAAAAGTCTTTGTCTTTTCTATCTCTCCACATCTCTCTCTTTCCTCCTCTTTCTCTCTCTCTATCTAGAACGCTTTCTCAATATGTTTTTGATTGACGCCATTGAAATTGAGTTACATCGGTTTGAATCGGATTGAACAGAACCATTATCATTTGTGGTTTTTTCATTTGTGGTGGGTTTTCGAAAGTTTGATTCTTTTGATCTGAAATTTTGATTCGTTGATCATACTCTCCGACATGATCTCTTAATTGTTGTATTCCGGATCTGTTGACTTTGCCAGATGTGTGTTGATTAAATCAGATTCTTAGAACCGATCAAATCTGATTTCACTCATCATCCGCTCGCCCAATTAAAAAAAAAAAAGAACCTTTAGGCTTTTATGTGATTTGATCTGTTTCTGCTTGTGTTTGGTTTTCTTACAACTTTTCTGATGTGGCTTTTGTATTCATGTTTTATTCTCTCTTTTTTTTTACAGGAGAAGGAGAAGGAAGAAGGCACAAAAGTTCGTTGCTTGCTTGGTCTATGTGTGATGCATATAATGGTTTGTATTTTTAAAATTTGTATTATATATTCTGATCTGTCTTTCAATACCTGAGAATTGATATGATCTTGCAGGCTGTTCTTTCTGTTAGCATCAAAGACAAGGACAAGGTGGACTCTGGTGTTCCTCTGGTGATGCAGTTAAAACCTCTATTGTCATATTATGGCCTAACACACATTGGTTTAGTCAACGGAAACGACGTTGAAAGATTAATAAGCACAGTTTCGAAAGGTTAGTATCTTAATACTCAAATAATCACTACATTTCCATCAATACTTTTTTCTCATGGTTGTATTTTGAACAGATGATGATTACTTCCTCAATTCAATCCGTGACGTCAACTTGGGTGCATCACTTCTATTCATCTAGGCGAGAATCTCACCGGAGGTTGCAGATGTTGCTAATGATGTAAATGAGCTTCAAAGCAATCCAGTGAAAAGGTGGGAAGCTTATGGGATGTTGCAACACATACTCTCTTCTGGAGATCTTCTACCATCTACGCTGCTTTACAGGCTTAATATCTTATCTCTTTAGCCTTTTGAATCGTTCAGGTTTACAAGTGGGCTAAGTGTCTTATTTCTTTTCTCCCAGGCTGTTATAGTAGTGATCATGTATGCTCCAGACGCGGATCTGAGGAAGAATACATTTGAGGCACTAAAGAGGGTAAGTACACCTTGACTATAATCACGTGTGCTGATTATATATCTCATTTTACTAATCTTTTTCTTTTTGTACTGATTCCAGTTCCCCAGAGGTTTGACGTTTTAAAAGCCCTCATCACTAACTCCCAGTCTTCCACAATGGTTAGTACTTTCGTATCCCGTTGAACTTTATTTCAAGAAAACGGTATCCCATTTCAACTAATACTATTGTTTCCTGAATCACGCAGAGAGGGATCCTTCTGGATCAAGTAAGAAACCACATGAGCACAAGCAGCTTGCAAGCTACGGAATGTGAGACTCATGTTACTGAGATAGTGGAGCTGGTCTTAAAGCCTCGCCTCCACGTGGTGGTCCTCCACTCTTTCCGGACCAGAGTGATGAGGTAAATTTGTTCATATTCCTATATCATTTCTGTATTAAGATTAAAATATATATTCGGTTCTTTCTTTTGTGCCATATAAGCCCTAGAGATGCTACACGACATGTCATATATTTATGTTTATGTTTTGAGTAGATTATAAAGTTTCTATTTGTTTGTCTAAATCTTATATTTCTCAGCTTCTTGAACCATATTAATTTTGGGTGAATTTGATTTGTACGTCTTTTTAACTAATTAACTTGGTATGTATTTATTCTTCATGTTTTTGAATAGACCATGAACTCAAAAGTTGAGATAGGTGATTAAGAAGTTCTCGGATTGTTGGGAGATGTGGGCTAGCTTTGAAAGTGGAGATGAAGCAGCAGAACAACTGAAACCATTAGAAGTGGAAATCTCTCATCTGAGGTCTTGCGACAGAGAATACAAAACTTTACTCCCGGAACCATCAAGGAAAAAGGTTCTAAATGTATTCTTTAAAGAGTGTTTCACTCACCATTATTATACAGAAACCAAGTGCTTTATGTTCTTGGTGATTACAGTTTATAGGGCATGAGCAAGGTAAAAAGAGGCAACAGTCAGTTACAAGAGGTGACATGGGATTTCCATTACGTCTGGTTTGTTCAATCCCTCCTCTATGTGACCTAACTTATGTATGCGTCGTCGCTGTAATGTGTATAGACTTCACATAGGGAACAGAATGTTCCTATGAGAACATGGTGTAATTTGATTCCACCTGTTGACCTCACCATCCCGTTCGTCCTGGTGCACAAGCTTCATCGCAGCATAGCAGACGCTATCAACTGGTAATGGTATTATCTTAAACCTTACCGCCTTGAACCCTCATGATTTAAAACTATAATATTTTGGTAAAGAATCAAAGATAAGTTAGAAATGCTTGATTTGGTTATGAAGCTCTTTTTTTCTAGCCTCTTTTTCAGTTTTCACGACAGGAAACAGCTCCTTGTTAACTTATTCTCCTTTTGTGTACTCAAGTATCCATGTTTAACAAAGAGAAAACTAAGAATATTATCATTTGCAGGGCACATCACAACACAGCCATTTTGCGCAATGTGGGTTTAATGGAGCTACTAGCATTGAGTATTAGACTACTGCTAGCATTGCGTTCTAGACTTGAAATTTAAGAGGCAACTCGGTGGAGAACATCACTCTATTTTTTCTCTATTGTTTTTTTCTATGTATCTCTTTTTTTTATCGAACTTCTATGAACTCTGGAATATGAAAGATGTTTGGGACCAAATAAGAGAGATTGAACGACAACACTTTCTCTTTTTTTTTTTATATGTGAAACAGAGAAACTAAAAAGTTTGTGTATGATACCTTACTTTTTTTTTGAACACATCGAAAAAAAATTGAAGTATACATCATAATGATGTGATTCATTCTTAATTATTCCGCTGTCTTTAATTTTTTTTCTTCATTTTGTCATCACATCACTTATTTTTTGTACCATTGTTTCTCTTGCAAAGCAAATGATTTCACATCATTTTCAGAATATTAAGATACATAACAAAGAATAACATTTTCCTTAAATAACCTCAAAGGCCATCAAATAAGTAGTTGCTACATCACTTTTCACGTGGCAAAGGAAAGTCCATACCATTAGAATTATTTCACATACAAATTGACAAGTAATTCCGTAACAGATCTTAAATCTTTCAGGTCTAGATGTCTTTGATCGTGGTTCCAAGGTCCTTTTCCTCCAAGAGACACCTAAAGCTCTTCAAGGGTCTGATGCAATGTCTGAGATAGTTTAGTGATTCATCTTGAGTTGTAATTTTGTTGTCCCTCTCTGTTTTTTCTTCTTCTTTTTTTGTCACAGAGGCACAAAGCTAAGGCTTTGCGTTTGTAAAACCTTTTATCATTTTTATGAAATTTACAGTTTAGCAAAGACAAATATTCATTTCTAGCTACATCTTTTAAACCATAATTTAAATATTGCAGCTATATTTCAGTTGTCAAAACAATTAAGCAATCTTCACATAAATATGTTATTTAACTCTAAGGTGGGAAATCCTCTAGAAAAAACCTTTAATTGATTATGAATAGTGTTAACTTCTCTGATCTAGAATCTTGCTTAAGGTTTACCATATAGTCACAGTTCAAAACAAAAGATTTACAAATATAGTCTTATTTAATATTGAAAATTAAAATCTACTCTATACAAACCCAATATTGGTTTTTTATTGGCCTAAGAAATAAGAATTCAATATAAGAAATAAGATGAATTTAAAGTTTTGTAAAACAGATTTACACAAACGATTAATGTAAAATATTGTTGAAATTTATAGTAAAATTGAAAATAACCAAACAAATTTATTCAATTTGTTTGCCAACTTATATGTATTTTGATTAATGAAATAAAAAAACTGAATTAAAATAGTTTCAAAAATTTTAGTCACCAAAAACAATAAAAAATGTAAATTTATCTAATAATTTATATAGCATATTAAGTCTCAATGTAAAATATATAGTCAAATATATATTCTATAATAAAATAAAATCAAAATATAGGAAACAACCCGGGCGTAGCCCGGGAAAAGTCTCTAGTATTTATAACTTGTTTTGCCAAGAAACTCAATTTACTTATACGTCTTGCTTGTTATTGCTGCGTTTTTTGTTTCTCTCACTTCATCGTTATCACTTTCTGTAGTTCTTCTACGAAATCAGAGAAGAATGACGATGATCTATCCACCAGAGGATAAAATCATGGGTTATTATCTGAAGATGATGATCGATAACAAAAACGAGTGGCCTAGCAACTTCCTCCGAAGCGAAGACGTGTACTGCGTAAACCCATCGACGCATTTCAATACTCAAGAACCTCTGATCCTACACGACGGACGATACTTGTTCGTTAACCGAACAAAGAATTCAGGTAAAACCGATGGATGTGAGTCTGGTTGCTGGAGGATCATTGGTCGTGATAAACTGATCAAGTCGGAGAAGAATGAGGAGATTCTAGGGTTCAAGAAAGTGTTCAAGTTTTGTGAAAAGAAAGAGGAGAAACCACCGACATCGTTTTTCAAGTTCAGCTGGGAGAAGGAGCAGAAGGAGAAGAGACGAGTGAGAGATAAGAGGCTTTGGGTGATGGAAGAGTATAGGCTTGCGAGTAAATGGAAGCAAGATTACGTGATCTGCAAGATTCGGCTTCTGAATCCGAACCCACTACAGTTCATGTTATCCAACCACGTTCGAGGTTACGCTCTATGTTAAGATTATGAATTGAAGAAGATTCGCTTTAAGTTTTCTTTTTCTGGAAATTACCAACTATCCTTTTATGGTTATGGAATTATGAATCCCTGTTTGAGATTACTCTTTGTGATCATGGATCTGCAGTATAAGTTTTTTTCTCGTTTTGTTTTCCTTTGGTAGTTATCATATGTTTTGATAATGGATTGAACTCGCTTTATGTTTTCATTTTCTTGAAATTCCCAACTAATACTTTATGATTATGGATCATGATTATCCAACATCTTTCTACTTTTAAAACCTCTTTGATTTTAGCATTAAAATGAAGTAAATATTTTGAGAGGCAGCGAGCGATGACGAGTCCCAACGACAAAGCAGCTCCAAACAAAGCGTGGAGTCTCACACAACAATACTTAGCCATGAATATCTTCTCATTCTGATGACGAAAAAGTGATAAAGACAAAGAAAAAAAAATCAGAGAGAGGTGAGAGAAAGTTGCTCTCAAGTCTCTCTCCCCCGAACTCCAAACTCCTCAAACTCACCGTCTGAACCTCGTTCTCGGTGGCCGGCGGTCGTCGTTAATCGTCGGTCACCACCCCATATCACTCCCTCTGTCCAACCTCACCCCTGTTGAACTCTGATTTCCCCACTTCCTCTTTGCTTCATCATCTCTGGTTTTTCGTTTGGATAGCGGCCGGATCCGGCGAATCAAACCGGTTTCTGGGTGTGTACCCAGTCTCTCCGGAGTGGTGGCGAGGTCGTGGATGCTCAGATCCCTTCAGGAGGCGCCGTTTCGATTGTAGATCTAGGGTTTGGCTCGGTGGATCTGGGTCAGTTTCACCTTGGAGGGTTCGCCGGAGCTTCAGTGCGTCGCTGCCGCTGCGTCTCCGGTCAGCTTCGCTGCCTCCTCTGTCTTCCCGTGTCTCTGTCTTCGGTTGCTCTAGCTAGAACTTTCCCGTATAGATCTTTGGGTCTAAGACGAAAAGCGATGTTTTGAGGGCTTCGCCGGAGACTTCTATTTCGTTCCGTCTTCACAGCAGCTACCATGGCGTTTATGGTCTCAGGTCCTTTGGTGGTTCAAGATAGCTCAGGGACTTCAGTTCTCTGCTTTGTCTCAGCCTTCTGTTGGGTTCCCTCGCCTTCTCGCCTGCTGATGGGAGCTCAACCTCCCCCGTTTTCAAAGTCTCAGAAGGATTTTGACTTCCATTTCCTGCCCTTTTCGAAGCTAAGTTACCAGATCTTTCAGTGCTCTGCTTGTTTGCCGGGACCGGAGTCGAGCCGTATAACCTCCGCTTCCGCCAGCATGTATCTCACCCGTGCTTATCTGCTGGCGTCTTTGCCTTGGTTTGGATTTCTCAGTGAGTTGGTCTAGTCTTTTTCTGGAGTAAGCTTCGTCTGGAGTGGACTTCACTGGTTGTGATGGCCGGACCAGGACGTAGTCAACCCTGCTTTGCCTGTCCTCCTTTCGGAGTCGCCTTTGGGACGGTCTGCGGTGCCTCAGACTGTTCTCCGGTTGTGAACTCTAATGATCGCCTCTCTTGTTACAGGTTTCCGGTTGCAAGATCAAGTTGTGGTCTACTGATACTCAATGGTTGCTAGGAATTCGTACTTGCCAAGCTTTAGTCATGTCTTTAGAGATTGTGCCTAAACCTTAGTTTGTTCTAGAGAGTCTTTTTACTTTTTTTGTGGCTCTCTCTAACACTTATGCTTTAATTAGCGATTTAGATTTCTAGGATTTGATTTCTTCAAACTCTTGTAATCTCTCTGTGTCATTACCAGTTAATGAAATTCACATACTTAACAAAAAAAAAAATATCTTCTCATTCTCCTGCATTCAAGATTTACATAATTAAACTAACTATTTAAGTCTTCAAATCAATATATTATTACTTTTTTTTACCTTGTGGTGCTTTTCGACATAACTTGAAACTAAATTCTCTACTGGGTAATGTCAAGAAACACAACAACTGAAACAGCCATCAACAAAAAAATATAAGTTTTTAGATGTTCTAACCAAGAACAAGAAGCATGGAATATAGCAAACGAATAGCCAGTCTCACGACAAAAGCTCCTTTCTCAGTCCCTAACCGAACCTAAGTAAGACACTCAAAATTAAAAACACATTCATCATATTAAACCCGGTTAAGTATTTCACATTTGTACCAGAGGTGAAAATTTCCCCACAGCTAAATCTCCTTCAACCTGTCAAATATAAAATAATCAGCATTGTTGTGTGGAAATCATTAGACCGTGTTTACGTTAACCAACCTGATGAAAGTGACTGCAGAAAAGGATGAGAGATGTGGTAAAACCAACAAGGAGAGATGATGAAAGGACCCTAGTGCTTAATGGAATCTGCCTCATCTCGCTGTCAAATAAGATATAACCATTTTTGAATATGAACAACTCATGGAAACAGAAATATATTATTAGGGTTATAATATACTTTTTTTATATTACCTTGAGGTACCAAGAAGTAGATAGAAAGCAGTAGTTGCAAATGGACCAAATGCTGCAAAACATAGAGGCTCTCCTAATCCTTGGTAATTTAATCGAAATGGCGGACACTAGAACCAAATTTCAAAGTAATGTTCCAAGTTAAAATCTCTTTAGATATTAGTATCACATAGTCACCTTAGGCAGTTTGCATTCACCTGGTATACACAGCCGCATAATATAGCTGAGGCAAGCAATAGTATTGCACGGATGTTACTTGCTGTCCAAGATGTCCAAACTAAACCAGAAACACCGAGCACAAGTGATGTGATTGCAACGACTAAGGTTCCTGAGCGGCTCATGGAATTTACTAAATTGCAGTATCATCAATCATGTACCAAAAAGCAAAGAGTTCATCATCTTCATCACATACAAAATATGTTCATCTTTCTCCACCATTTGCTTTTCAAGAGTATGAAACAGGCTCTATTTCATGGATTCATCTCATGCAAAGAAGACCTGAACGATGGAAGTTTTCAAAGACTGACAAACATGACAAACAGGACAAACACCAGTGACCACATCACAGTCTTTTCACAAACTTAAGTGACTGCACGGGACAAGCAAGACCGAAACCTCCTTCACGTTACACGACATGCATCTCATCCCAGCGTTTTGGCATCCCTGGGATGTTCATGTAGTTATATGAGATTGCGTCAACATCAATCTCATTATCCCCAAACCTTTCTTCAACTTCTTCTTCTTTTTTTCAATTTGATGATGAAGTATTTTAATCAGCAGTTTTAATACTCAAGTATTGTTCATGCATAATTATTTCTCAACTAATAGTTGATAGCGCAAAACTATAAAAGAAATAATCAATTGTTAACCAGTTAACATAAAGATAACGGTTTCCGTCAACTTTTTAATGGTTGACTACTCAAATCATAATTTGGCACAGTCAATGATTAGTTGAGGAGTAAATATGTGCATATATTACTTGAGTATTTAATTTGTCGATTGAAAATACAGGAGGAATTTAAAACATCAATCTCTTTTAAAAAAAAAAAATCATAATTTGAAAATATTTTCAAGTTAGACACAAGCAAATATACAAGATTTTTACTTTTTGAAAGATATTTTTGAGTTTTTACAATGACATATACAATATGATAGATAATTATAGCTGCATTGTATTGTTGATGTATTTCATGTTTATAAAAGAACAAAACTTAGGTTCACCCCATATTCATCACACTTCTAATAACCAATCATAGTACCACATAAATTAATTAATAAAAAATATTAAATATTTCTTAAGAAATTAAAATAAATAAAATAAAATAATAATGTCAATTATAACGATGCTGCCAACTAAACCTAAATCTAAACCGTAACTCTAAACCCTTAACTCCAAACCCCAAACCCAAACTCTATACCCTAAAACTCAAACAGATACCCTAAACCCGAACCCTTTACTCTAAATCCAAACCATATACCCTAAAACCTAAACCCTAGACCCTAAATCCAAACTATATACTCTAACTCCAAACCCTAAATTCTAAACTTAAAACCCTAAAACCTAGATCCTAAATCCTAAATCCTAAATCCAAACATTAGATCCTGAATTTAACTCTTATATCCTAAACCCAAATCCTATACTTTAAACTCAAATCCTAGACCCTAAATCTAAACTGTAAATCCTATACCCAAATCCTATACCCTAAATGTTTGGATTAATGTTGATATTGTTCCTTTAGAGTTTAAGGTTAGGCTTTAAGGTTTGAATTTGAAATTTACAGTTTGGGTTCATGATTTAGAGTCTGGAGTTTGGGTTTAGGGTTTAGAGTTAAAATTCATGGAATAAAGTTTGGGTTTAGGATTTAGGGTCTAGGGTTTATATTTTAGGGTTTAGATTTTAGGTTCTAGGGTTTGGGTTTAAGGTATAGAGTTTGGGTTTAACGTCTTGGGGTTTAGGTCTTAGGGTATATAGCTTAGATTTAGAGTATAGGGGGTGAACCTAAATTTTGTTCTTTATAAAATCCCATATGGAGGATTTCATATTATTTAGGGAATCATATGTTGTAAATTTGATCTCTACTTTAGACTACGGGTGGGAAAAAAAAAACGAATCAAACCGAACTGAAATCGCTCCAAACAAACTGAACCGAGTTAAACCAAACCAAGAAACCAGTGTGTTTTTGTTATTATTTGAACACTAAAGTCACTATTAACTTTATACAATGCACAATTTACTAAAATCCGAACACAAGCGATTAACTTTATTAACGTTTTTTATTTATTTTCTATTTACTTTAGTTAACTTTGGTTTGATTGTGTTTTTATAAAAAAAATTGTGGGTTTTCAGTTTTTTTTTTTTCAGTTTTATATTATAAAAAATTTACATAGTTCTTTTTAAGAGGCATTATTAACATTCTTTTTTATTTTATATTTACTTTAGTTAACTTTGATTTGATTGTGTTTTTAGAAAAAAAATTAGTGTTCTTAACAAAGTTTTTATTTCAGTTTTATATTGGATTTAGTTTACATAGTTTATTTTTTCATAGTCACCAACATGATGATTTCATGACCAAACCCGATCCAAACCAAACTAATTATAGTTTACTTCAGCTGGCAAAATTCTAGAACCTGAATTAACCAAACTTCACCGATAAAATAACCAGAGTGTCCAGCTCTACTTTAAAAAATCATAGTACTAACTTCTACTTTAGACTATCATATATTGTACATCATTAATACAATGCAATGTAGTTATCTTATTTTATTTTCTTTTGTAAAACCCCAAAATCCATTTCCAGAATCAAATATATTATATATTTGTTCAAATTGAGAATCTTTCTAATTACGAATTATTTTAAAAATCATCTTAAGGTATTTTATAAAGATGAGATACATCAACAATACAAGAAAATATATTTAAATAGCAGTAAACAATAAAGCAGTTGGTTAGATGGTAATATAAGAAAATATTTAGATCTAGAGATTCAGGTAATCATGATGATAAAGATATAGAAGATAAAGGTGTGTGTGTGTGTGATATTATAGAACTCGAATTCTAGTGTATCGATATCCAGCTGTTGCATGCGAGTCTAATAATGATCTAAGTCCAGTATTCCAGATATCGTTATTCAACGCGAAAGGAGTTATCGATTGATTGTGGGCGCTGAGCATCGATCAACGGCTACCATAAATCGGGTTTATTGTCCTATTTGATGTGTTCACTAATTTCCTGGATGGAGATCCTCACACTGATACCAACATACTCAGTGGTAAAGAAAAGGTAAAGGATAAGGTCCAGAGGAAAAGGATCAAGGGTGATCCTATAATGACTTTGATTCAATGTGTGATGAGAACTCCATTGAGTAAGAGGTAAAATGCAAGGGGGCCTCGAAACCGTTCTCTAAAGTCAGAGCTATTCTCATACATGAGCTGAAAGAGAAAACGGAAGCTGCTGTAAAAAGGTTGTTGAGTAGACTTTTGAAGCAGAACATGACTGGTTGTGGAGTTTGTTTTGAAACAAGCGCTCATGCTCAACCCGACTGAACCCTATCACCACGTCAAACTAGTGACTTAAACCAAGCGCTTGGTGGTAGGCAACCCACTGGTAAATGTAAATATCGTTAGATTTTTTGCTTTTACTTATTTCGGTTTTAGTTTATTGAGTCTCAGGTAAAAAATCAGAAAAATCCGAGAGACTTCAAAATATACTGGGTTTCAGAACCATAGTAACCATCCCTCCGAAAAGAGCAGTTTCTCCACGCAGAGATTTTCAGGAGCACACGCTCCGCGCAGATAAGTATCTCGACCAAAAAATAAAATTTTCTTTCTTGTTTTCACCTTCTCTCTGATTTATTTTCACCCCATGGATGGTGTGAAGTAAGTCTGGGGGAGGGTCTTCATCGTTTACTAACTTGTTTCCTTATTTTGTTTTTCTTCCGAGTCAGTTTGAGTCAGTTTCTAGGATCGAGTCAGTCAAAACATTTGTGGGAATTAGGACCTTATTTTGTGATGTCTATTAACCACCCTCGTGCTTTACTTATCTTATTCAGTGACCTTATCAGCAGTGACGAAAGACACACATGTGGAGCTGGAACAACCTGACATTGTCTCATTTTGTTCTCCAGAAGATTTTGGCTTGTCGAGGTTACTCTGGAAAGATTTCGGCTGAGATTACACTCAGAACTTCCTATTCTTTCTATCCATCTTGTTGATCATGAGTGGCCAGCTCATTTTTAGCTGGTACCCACCTTGAAACTCTAACTATTTATTCCACCCTCATCCATTTTCTTTTTCAGTATCTTATGTTCAGATATGTGCAAAAGGGCCGGAGAGGAAAGGATCAACACAACCTCTTGCTCGTTACTGCAGTAGAAAAGTGTTCTAAGAGGAGAACAAGTGAGACTTCAGGAGAAATTGCTCCTACGCTCCTGAGTCACCTAACTAGAGCAGGGTGAAAATAAATCCGGATAGATATGCAATCAGGACCACCAGTGGCACGTCGAAACCATCATGTGTTACCTCCTTTTTCGTCACCATCACCATGTTGTTATTCAAAAAAAAACTTCATCAGAAAAAGGTGATGGACGAGGGGAAGAATTCAAAGAAACATGAGCCACTAGGAAGGTCAAGCAAAAGAGTGAGTACCGAGTTGAAAGAACGAAGAACATGCGTATGATTGGAGCAATTTTTCCAGAGAGAGAGCAGGCAAAAACGAGTAGGGGCTGTGGACATCAGTGGATCTATCATCTCTTGTAATTTTGTGCGATATCCTGCATCCTAGAGTTCCCAAACTCTCAAACCTTTCTCCATGTTCTTGATACTTGAGATTGTTTGAGGACAAACAAGGATCTAAGTCTTCGGGAATTGATATGTTGTGTTTTTGGCACATTCTACCAATATTTTCTAAAGTGTTTATGAGTCTTATCCAGTCTTTCTAGTCCTTTTTGAGTCATTACAGGTCTGGAGTTGCAGTGGATGGGAGATGGACTAGTTGGAACAAAAGAGTACAATTTTGAGATTTTCACGCAGAGCAGTCTTATTGGTTGTTCTCGATCGAGCGGAACACCTCGAAGTGCATGTTCCAGCGGCAGAGATTTTTAAGAAAAGTACAAGTTATTCGGGATTTTCCCTAATCTTTCTCATTTGCATGTGGCTTCCATATATCTTATTTTTATGTTTCTCTTTATTTTTATACGCTATTTTTAGAGAAGCAACCAGACTTTAGAGCTCCATTGTTGCGATTTCATACCTTGTAAAGGGAGAAGACCATCTGTCTCGATTTAGAGAAGAATCCTCTGAGCCCTATTTCTATTTCTTTTATAATTGCAGTGATGTATTATTC